ACTCCTTCCCATCTGGAATCTGCAACAATTTGCTTCTCTATTTTTCCCACCCAGCAGCACCCCACACAAAAATCTGCAGGGCCGAAACGACATCGATCGTTAAATAACAGAAGTCACATTAGAGTAGACGCCTTGTCTGAAAGTAATATTGTAGTTTCCGATATGCATCAGCACCAGAATAAACTAGTACATTCAGAGTGTTTGAGAAGGCAAGGGTGACTCTTTTGGTGTGACCCTCAAGCTTCCTTGTAACCTGCAAAATATATAAATGAAGACAATGCCTAACTTTTCGGATTTGCTTCATCACAACGTCGAGCATGATTTATTTATTTATTTTTTTTTACAAGAACAAACAAACTACCTTGTCTGAGTGGAGATTGTATATTACAATGGTGGAATTGTTCATGCCAATAGCAACTATACTGTCATCTCAGGGGTGAAAAGCAAGACATGTTGCCGCAGGTGGCGGTGGCATGACTTTCTTCATCAATGGTGGAATTTTACGCAACAGATTTTGATGAGTACAATGAGTTAGATCATGAGAAATTTGCAAACAGAACCTAAGCATATTGACAAACAAGATTTGGGAAGTTTTGGCTGGTAAAAGAAAATTTCGAGAATACTATTTGCGTTGGGTTTACCTTAAATGTTGTCATGTCAAAAACGGAGAGCATCCCTCCTGTTGCTGACATGAGATATGAATCATTCTTGGACAAATCAAAGCAGGACATAGAGTCTTCAGGGTTGGTGCTGGGAAGGTCATTGTTCATCAGCTCTAACCTCCTTGGTTTTCATAAATTAGGGTGAACCTTGGCAGTTGCCTACATTCAATCAATATCATCATAATCAAACGATTATAAAAAAAACGGGAAATAAGCTGGTGTAATCAGGTTTCAGAAATAGTGTGGCAATTTCTAAAGGAAAGAGAGGAGAAATCTAATAGGAAAGAATTATAAACCATGTCATTATTTACCACTCAACTAGAATTAAGGTCCCTGTGGCCATTTCCAGAGAAAATGAATGCCATTAGATGCTAACACCAAAATAGCATCACCTTCAGAGAAAATAAATAGTATAGCCGTTCGGCTATACTGTTTATTTATAAAATAATAATAATAATAATATTATTAAAAAATTATAAAAAAAACGGGAAATAAGCTGGTGTAATCAGGTTTCAGAAATAGTGTGCTGAAATAATCAGGTTACAAATTGTATTCTAATATAATCACTTGAGGACGTGAAATGACCAAAGTGCCCTCCATATAAAAGCAGATGTATCAACCCTTTAGGCCTCTTTCTTCTCTGTTTTCGCAGTTTGCCAAAAATGGGGGAACTCTAGGTTGCGACACATTTTGGGACTGAGCAATCCAGTTCGCAACCCATCCATAGTCACAACCCAGATGTCCTAAACTTTCGAACCCTAGTTTAACCGTAGCGGAGCCGGCGGAACGCACCGCCTCCATTGTTGACCTCCATATCGAAGTGACTGTTGCGACTCCACAGAGGAGCGAAAGTGGCGACTTCCGGCGTCATTGTGAACGGAGGTGAGTTCAGATATTGGTTTGGTAGTGTATGTGTATTATAAAATCGTGCATCCCCTTTTCACCACAGAAGGGCAGAAGAGCTTAAATTTTCAGTTTGAAGGCGTTATGATATGTTGAAATTCATAGTTTATGTTATTATCTGCAGTGGGATGTATGTGGTAAACTTGAATTTTGGTTAAAATGGACCGAATGCTTGTATAATGTAGTGCAATGTGTTTGATAATGGGCAAAATAACAGCACACAGAAAAATCATATGTTAACTTTGTCTGGCCTAAAA